AAATTGTTTGAATATCAATTATCTGATTTAAAGTTGTCAAGGTCAAATGAGGGGGATTGTGTTCTGCTTCAGATAAGAAAGGACGTTTTCTGGTATAACTTGAAAAGGGAAACAAGATTGAAGGTGAAGCAAGGGGGTTGCCTCAGGCTGTGCCCTTTTGGAGTGATGTTCGCTGGGAAAGTTTTGCTTCTCTGGGCAACAATGCTGCATTCCAGGTTTGATTGGGTGGCTGGAAGAATTATGTAAATTCCCACTTTTATTTAGCACTTGCCCTTACAAAATCCTAGTTAGTGCGTTTTGAATGCAATTTTTCTAACTACAAAATGATATCTAAGTTGCAGCCCAGTATGTATTGCTCTCCTTTAATGTTCTTATTTGGCGTCTGTGCTTCTATCTAGCATGTATGGTAAATTGGTAATGCATATTTATGATGTAAATTGTAGAACTAGAGGGAATCATATATAGCATCTTCTTTTTTTTTTTTTTCCTTTTCTTTTCTTTTATGGTTATATTTAGCATCTTTGAATGTGCTCAATTTTGCAAGATTTGGTTTAGTAAATTGTTCTTATGTAGATTAAATTGTTTGAATATCAATTATCTGTTAAAGTTGCCAGTCTTCTCTGCCCCTTTCAAAATCTCCATCTTGATTCTTGATTACAATAAGAAGTTGCTCTCTTCCATTGGCAATGTCGTCCTGAAAGCTGTGCTTGCTTATGGTTCAATAGAGATCATCTTGAGGTGCCTAAGAGCAGGGGCCGTTCACTTGATTTATGATGCTACTGCAAATGCAAAACAAGCTTCCGGAGCTGATTTTAATTATGGTTAGCTTAATTAATGTGCAAGCTGAATTCTGTTTTATTTAAATGTTCTTGAGTTTGATGTTGTGCGATTATTAGGTGCTAGGGGTACTCTTCCGTAAGGGTGTTTATATCTGATTCAATTCAATTAATCCAACCTAAACTGATCCAATCCAATCAAAAATTGATTCAAATGATATAAAATTAGGATGGTTTGAATTATAAAATTTTAAAACCAATATAATTGATTTAATTTGTGATTTAACCTTCAAATCGCTCAAACTCTCAGATTACAAAATAAAATTTGATTACAAGATAACTTAAGTAAATAACATAATATATTTTTTGTAGTATTTAAAAAAAAAATTTCTTATTTTACAAGATAATAACTCCATTAACTTAAAAATAAAAATAAAATATCTCTATATTCCCTAAGTTATTTTTCCATTTTAATCATACACTTTAACTCTAATTCTAAATTTCTAATTCATCTGCAACTCTATCCCTTCAGAATTGGTTTACGCCTTTACTATTAGAATCATAAAATTTTAATTTATTCTTAAAATAATCTTATGAGACTTTTAACTAAGTTTTAAATAAGTATTATTCTAAAAGTTTTAAAATTATATAATAAAATTAATCTTGATATTATACTATTATTGGATATTTCGTTTAGAAGTTTTAAATTTTGATTATGAATGCTTCTAATCAATTTTAGTGATATTCATGTTAAATTTCATTTACTTTTAATAGGATTTAAAAGATGAAATTAAATTATTCGTACATTAAGAAAAAAAACTAATTTTAATTTTTAAAAATTATTTATGCTGTATTAGAAATTTGAAATAATCTTTTATTGTTCTTAGTGCCTCTTTTGATGTAACCAAGAAGAATTTTTTGATTTTTTCAATTTTTACAAATGCAAAAGACTATAACAACTCGTTTGTAATTTGTACTTTTTATTATATTTTTACTGATTTGCATGTTAATGTGTTTTATGATTATGCTTTTTATTTGATATTAAAATATTTTTACATCATTTTATATATTTAATAATGTTAAAAACCAATCAATTTAATCAAACCAAACCGATCAATCC